GTATGCATTGAGTATTAAGTTTTGCTGCTAGCTTGGTCATCAAAAAACTCATTAAGGGTGTAGTAACATTTTTCAATGAGGAACCGTTTTAATTTATTTATAAATACGTTATATTTTTCTGCTTCTTTTATGTATTTCGGTACAGCGTTATATATTTTTATTGACATTTCTAATGTCTTGTTCGCAACACGCTAGTATTTTAGTCGAGCTGCGAGTAATCTAGTAGTTTTCTCTCATTTCTATCTCAAAATCACACTAAACTACGCTACTGTAGTACATTTGCTGCTTAGACATATTTAGATACTAAATTACTCGCAACGCGAATAAAATTCTTGCATTGTGTGAATTGGGCATTAGAGGCTACGGCAAATAATTACCATTTGGATAAAGATTTCATCATAATACATAATCCATAAAATATAAACCACATCTTAAATTAAATTACTTTAACTGTCGCTATTTCTTTGAAAAATAAGACTTAGCTACCAACATTTTCGAAGATCACTTTACGACAACACATACCAACAACACATTTCTCCACAGGGATCATCAACAACAACGGGAGAACCAACACTTCCCGATGGATCCACGACCACGGAAGGATCAACAACGACTGGTGACGATACACCCGTGTCTATAACAACACAAGGATCAACAACAGGAGAACCAACACTTCCCGATGGATCCACGACCATGGAAGGATCAACAACGACTGGTGACGATACACCCGTGTCTACAACAACACAAGGATCAACAACAGGATAACCAACACTTCCCGATGGATCCACGACCACGGAAGGATCAACAACGACTGGTGACGATACACCCGTGTCTACAACAACACAAGGATCAACAACAGAGGATGATGGTCCCTGTCCTCCGGACGTTTACGGAAATGTCCCCCATCCAGACGAATGTAATGCCTTCTACTTATGCGTTAGTGGAGTTGCAGTCAAATTGTACTGCGCCAGTGGTTACGAGTTTGATGCTACGGTCGGGGTAAGATATTTTTTTGAGTCTTTATCAATTTGTCGTTCGCTTTTTTCATTAAATATTAATAAGTTCATGTCGAAAAAGTCAAAAGTGACTAATTAGTTTTTTATGCGATAAACCGGTAAACGAGCAGACAGATCATTTGATGATTCAATTATAGCAATCGGCGCCGCCCATGGATGCCCATATAATAACACCATCCATTCATCATCGTCATCATCAACAGCCAAAGGACGTCAACTGCTGGACAAACGCCTCCCATCATCATTAATTCATAATAATATATTATTTTCTGTTATTTCCAGAACTGTGTCGCCATTGCACCAGGTGGATGTACTTTGGGTCCAGTCACCGGCTCAACAACATTATCTACTACCGATTCTTCCACTACACCAATTGGTTCCACCACGGATAGTTCTGTAACTACCACGGAAGGACCCGAAATCTGTCCTATAGGAGTGTGGGGCAATGTGCCACATCCTACTTTGTGCAACTCATTCTATGTGTGCGCAGCGGGATCAGCGATCCAACTGTTCTGTAGTGAAGGATTTGAATTCGATCCAAATACCGGGGTGAGTTAAATATTATTATAATTTGGTGACAATTTTTTTTATCCTACGTTGTGACAAAACGGAGTTGTTATAAAAATCTTCTATACCCGTATTGATTTTGTTATAAAAATATTTATCTGAACATAAATAACATAATGCAATCTTGAAATGAGTGAACTATCTACATGGCAGTTGTACATGAAAAAAGCCTTAAATATTGAAAAAAAATTACAAAATTATTATTATAGTGAAGTACTTCATAAAGTGAAGTCGGTTGATGAAACTAACAGTAAAATATTTTCAGTCTTGCGTCCCCATCGCTGAGGGAGGCTGCACAATGAGCCAAACTACAACTTTGGCACCGACAACCAGTACGACCACTCCGCCAGAGACGACCACAGTAGACCCCAACTGTCCTCCAGGCACGTGGGGCAATGTCCCCCACCCAGAACTGTGCAACTCATTCTATCTATGCACAGGAGGACACGCAATCCAACTGTTCTGCAGTGAAGGCTTCGAATTCGATCCTGAACATAAGGTAAACAATATTTATAGTTATGGGTAAGGAAAAGGTATAATCATAACGTAAAGAAAATCTTAAAACTGTCAAACACCGCGAGGACACCGGTGACCGCAACCTATTGTTCTTTAATTGTGTCTATAATGACGGTACTCAAAGGGTTAAGTAAACCAGTAACTATCCTTTATAAGTCTGATTAATGCTTGAAAACGGCTGGATAGAACTTCATTATAAAGGTTTAAAAAGTTTGTTTAACTTCTTCATCTCCCTATAAACCTCTATAATTTAATTTTGTCCTCTCTCCGTAGACATGCGTGGTTATAGCCGAAGGAGGTTGCACCCTCGGCTCTGGTTCCACCGCAGGACCCGTCACTACACCGGACGGCTTCCAATCGACTACAACTATGCAGACGACCACGGACAGCAATGAAGTGACCGGTTCAACCACTGTAAATGGTGATATCACAACTCCAGATGGAATTACCACTCTTGGTTCAACGACTGTAAATGATGTCACAACTCCAGATGATGTTACCACTCCCGGTTCAACGACTGTAAATTATGTTACAACTCCAGATGGTATTACCACTCCCGGTTCAACGACTGTAAACGGTGTCACAACTCCAGATGACATCACCACTCCTGATCCTTCCATAGGATCATCTGATAGCACACCTGGTGATAGTAACACAACACCAGCTTTGCCAACCACCACGGAAGCTGTAGACATAAATCCATGCCCTGCAGACGTCTTTGGGAACGTTCCTAACCCAGAAAGCTGTAATTCATACTTCCTATGTGTGAACGGAGAAGCTATACCCTTCACTTGCGCTGATGGACTTGAATTTGATCCTATTGAAAAGGTAAAGGCGTTTAAAAATAACATAATAATTGCGATTATTTTTAAAACACTTAGTCCCGGTTCAAACTAAACAAATGAATGTAGTAAGAGGCATGTTAAGTCCGCGGTGGTATGCATTAGTATACATGTTTAACTATTTTTGCAGACATGCGTGGTCATAGCTGAAGGTGGATGTACTCTGGGTTCAGCAACAACTCCTGAGGGACCATCGACAACTGAAAATATTGTCTCTAGCACAACTCTTGCTAACGTTGCGACCACTTCAACGCCAGCATTGGATGAAACAATTTGTGTAGGAGTGTTTGGAACTATACCGCATCCAGAGCTGTGCAACTCATTTTACATTTGTGATGGTGACAAACCTATGCAGCTCTTCTGTGTCGATGGATACGAATATGATCATGGATCAAGGGTCAGTCAATAAATAATATCTTTGTAAAATAAAGTTGACTGAAATCAAAATATGACATTATTTTGATTCAGTAGACTTAACGTACCTTTCAAATAACGAACATGGTTTGTTTCTTACAGGGCTGTGTAGAGATCGCTGAAGGAGGCTGCACGTTCCAATCTGCAACTACCACAGAAGCTACAACGATTGCTGACCCGCCAATATGCGCAGAAGGCCAATATGGTAACATACCCCATCCAGAACTGTGCAACTCGTTCTACATGTGCACAGGAGGCCAGGCTATTCAGCTCTTCTGTAGCGAAGGTTTTGAGTTCGACCCTAATGTGAGAGTAAGTATACTACAAACTTAGATAGAATTGGTACTGTAGTCTGTAGCAAACATGATATTTATACACAACAAATTTGCAGGAATGTGTCAGGATCGCTGAAGGAGGCTGCACACTCGGATCTCAAACGACCCCAGCCGTAGATGTCACAACTACTCCAAGCTCTGAACTGCCTGACACAACCACAGAAAGAGATCCAGATGACTTCCTTCCTGGTGATGTCGTTACAACCACTGAACGTGGAGTGACGTCTACATCCGAGCCAACGACTACTGCTGCCGGCAGCACTAGCTCGGACATAGATGATGTACCAACTGAAGGATCAACAACAATTGATTACGAAACGACAACATTGCCTACAACGCACGGCACTACCACAGAGGCTCCTATCTGTGCTCCAGGCGTGTTTGGCAACGTACCTCACCCAGACAGATGCGACGCTTTCTACTTGTGCTCCGGCGGCAACGCTTTACCGTTTACTTGTGGCGAGGGACTCGAATTTGACCCTGAATCCAAGGTATTTGATAATTTTCTTAAAGAACCCCATTTGTCATAGATTTAATATTATGTCTGGTTTTACCCTTGATGTTCAGCTCTTGGGTTTTGAAATTGGGAAAAGGGAAAGTGTGTCTATACGCTATCAAAAAAGCTTAATTCAAATGAAACATTTAATCATTTGTAAGTAATTTGAAATGTTTAACCTAATGCAAATGTATTACTTTAGTTGTGCGTGCAAATCGCCGAAGGAGGATGTACCATGAGTAAAGCGACAACACCTGGAGGAGAAACTACTGCACAGGATGTAACACCTACTGCCGCGCCTGAGACTACTGTACAGGATGTCACAACTCCTGCCGCGCCTGAGACTACTGCGCAGGATGTAACAACTCCTGCCGCGCCTGAGACTACTGTACAAGATGTAACAACTACTGCCACGCCTGAGACGACAACTTTAGCTCCTACAACAGCGTCAGATGATATTCCCGATGACGGCACCACGACCGAAGCATTAATTGACACTACCACAGAGGCTCCTATCTGTGCTCCAGGCGTGTTTGGCAACGTACCTCATCCAGACAGATGCGACGCTTTCTACTTGTGCTCTGGAGGCAACGCATTACCGTTTACTTGTGGCGAGGGACTCGAATTTGACCCTGAATCCAAGGTACGTATTTGTTAATATTCTTTAAGTACCCCTTTTGTCATAGATTTAATATTATGTCTGGATTTACCTTTAATGCTCAGCACTTGAGTTATGAAATTAAATTTATAAGAAAAAGAAGAATAAGTATGTACATTGAAAATCGTAAAGTGTGTCTATCCGCTATCGAAGAGCTTAGTTGAAATAAAATATTTCATTATTTCATCAGTTATAAATGTAATTTTATATTGTGAAATTAAAGAAAATGTATCATTTTAGTTGTGCGTACTAATCACCGAAGGAGGGTGTACCATGAGTAAAGTAACAACACCTGGAGGAGAAACTACTGCACAGGATGTAACAACTACAGCCGCGCCTGAGACTACTGCACAGGATGTAACAACTACAGCCGCGCCTGAGACTACTGCACAGGATGTAACAACTACTGCCGCGCCTGAGACTACTGCACAGGATGTAACAACTACTGCCGCGCCTGAGACTACTGCACAGGATGTAACAACTACTGCCGCGCCTGAGACTACTGTACAGGATGTAACAACTACTGCCGCGCCTGAGACGACAACTTTAGCTCCTACAACAGCGTCAGATGACATTCCCGATGACGGCACTACGACCGAAGCATTTATTGACACTACCACGGAGGCTCCGATCTGTGCTCCAGGCGTGTTTGGCAATGTACCTCATCCAGACAGATGCGATGCTTTCTACTTGTGCTCCGGCGGCAACGCTTTACCGTTTACTTGCGGCGAGGGACTCGAATTTAACCCAGAAACGAGGGTATGTATTTGACAATATTCTTAATGTACCCCTTTTGTCATAGACTCGATATCATGTGTGGTTTTACCCTTGAGACTCAGTTCTTGGGTTTTAAACTTGAACTAAGAAGAAGAATAAGTATGTACATTCAAAATGGGCAAATTTGTCCATACGATATCGAAAAGCTTAATTTAAATGAAATATGTCATATTTTGTACGTTAAATTTTGAAACTGAAGAAAATGTATTATTTTAGTTGTGCGTGCAAATCGCCGAAGGAGGATGTACCATGAGTAAAGCGACAACACCTGGAGGAGAAACTACTGCACAGGATGTAACAACTACTGCCGCGCCTGAGACTACTGAACAATATGTAACACAGGCTGGGCCTGAACTTTTTGATACGACCACGGTAGCGGATGACACTACCACGGATGCTCCGATCTGTGCTCCAGGCATGTTTGGCAACGTACCTCACCCGGACAGATGCGACGCTTTCTACTTGTGCTCCGGTGGCAACGCTTTACTGTTTACTTGCAGCGATGGACTCGAATTTGATCGTGAAACCAGGGTATGTACATTAGTAAAATAATGCTAAGGCTCTTAGGTAATATCCTGGGTCACTGGTAACAGGTGTTGATAGAGGATTTGCCTTCCAAAGTTCTGTCGGCCGTCAAAGGTTTAATTCCTAAGTAAACAGTGCATTGTAGTAGTGTTATACAACGAATTTTACACACTAGAGACTTTTGTAGGGGAAAACATTTATGAACTGAATATTGAAGATATTAATAGCAACGTTACTTTATTTACAGGTATGCATGCCCATCGTTGAAGGAAGATGTACGCTTCCACAGCGCTCAGGTCAGAAGACAGAAGCGAAAATTGAGTTGACCACAGAAGCGTGGAAAACCACCGTAAACTTCATGTGCCCTGACAACGAGGACCGTTTTTTGGCAGACCCTAACAACTGTGATAAGTTCTTCCGATGCGTTGAAGGATACGGCATACAGATGCATTGCCCTAATGGACAGGAATATGACGCTTCGGGAGAGGTTTGTGTAAAAATATTCTCTTAAAATTTTGGTAGGAAACGCTCAGGCGTTGTCCTACTATGTAAAGAAGAATAATGTAGTGTTGAATAAAGTAATAGTAATTCTATTTGTGTGAACTTCATATAACTATTAACTAAATCCATATTTTTAAATTACCGAATGAATGTAGAAATGGACTAGAATAGTCGTAGTTCCATGTTAAAACTTAATAATACATAATTATACGTTCTCCTTGCCATCTTTGAGTTAAACTTCGTTTTTGATAGAAACTGGGTACAATTTGTTATATTTATTTTTATACTTACTTATTGATGAATGTATTTCATTACAGAAATGTGTCGCCATCGCCAAAGGAGGTTGCTCATACAACAAAAGGCAAGAAATTATATCATAATCTGCTACAGAGAATCGTCTCACTCGATAACGACAAAACTGAACAAACATTAATCGCTCGACACTATGATAACTGAACAAAATGACTTTGTCACTATTTCATTTACTGAGTAATATTAAAATATATCAACAATTTACCTATTGAAATGAGTTTCAACTAATACACAGTCGATTTATCAACTGGCACTAAAAGTACCACTTGATAAAATGTATACAAGAATGAATAAAAATTAGTTATTGCTCAGTAAATGCGTCTGTATATACGTATTATTATTATTGGTATGCTTAGTAATGAAACTTTGAGATCTACAGCTTATAAAAGAATGTTGTTTTTAAAATTGATTGTTTTGCGACGTTGGAGTGAGAAATCTGCTAAAAGAAAGAGATGGAGGGAGTATCTCTGTTTCTTGTGACGACAATTTAGCTTTAATTAGAGATGGTATTCAATATAAATGTAGCTGGATTTTATTTGTCTTTTAGTAGGGCTGACCACATTGCCATTTTCTTTTCAAAATACATTTAATTTTGTTTTTTCTATATTTTTGTGTTTCTGGTTTTTGAGTCAATAATGTTATTTCATTTTTTGTGTCATTAAATTTAGCTTTCAAGTGTGGTCATAAGACCCAAGATTTCTCGATTCATTTCAAAAGCAATCAATTTTTGTATATTATTTAGAAACAACATAAAAAATAAAGGAATCTGATTTATTTTCAAATATATTTTTACATAATTAATGTTTTATTAATATAATTATTTATTACTATTGTTATAATTATACACTGTATTTGAAAATAATAGTTCGCGCCCTTCTTATTGATGTAGGAAAAGTATTATTATTTATTATTCTAGGTATTATTATTGTGATTATTTTATTATTAAAGTTTAATTCTGAAAGGTGCGATAGAGTTGTAAATAAAAAGTTTCATGTTTTAAAAATGTTTTTTAATTTTTATTCTTTTCAAACTTATTTGTCATATGTCAGAGGAGTAGCTACCAAAATATAAATAGAATAGGCACACCGCCACGGTATGCTCCACCGTGTCCTCTGGGTGGTCCTTGTGATGTGATGTGATGACACCCGGGCGTTTCCTCCCGCCCAATCCGAAACAAAAACCTACCGAATCTCCCGTGTCCGATGAACACCTTCTTTTGGCGGTAAGTGAGGACGCCGTAGCGTCTCTCAAGCCATTTCTAAAGAGAGCCTACAAAGAGGGGACTCACCGTTGCAATGACAGCGAGCCCAGCCCTAGGTTACCTAAAGGAGAATGGCGTTGTTTTTCGCCGTGTGAGTGAGGTTACCGGAGGCCCAATCAGGCCTCTATAATTGTCTATCACTCCGCCGAGCGGACTCGGGCCACCAGACGCCCAAATTCAGTGCGGTTTTCGCAAGCTACGCGCACGCACGTTATTCGATTTTATTAGTTTCATTTGTTCGTACGCGTACCTACGATGCCGTCTGGTACCTTATGTGCTGTAGATGGGTGCAAATCAAGCAAAAGAAGGGATGAACACCTATCTATAAATTTATAAAAATATAAAAATAAAACACTTTAACTGTAACTTTAATAATTTTTTTTATTTTACCTACACACACACTGACGTCTATAATTTTATCATGTATTTTTTATTATGTACTTTTTTTTTTTAAGGGGGGAAAATCATCGAATGACTGCTCCCGCCTGGGTGAGGCGGGAGGGAGTGTCAGACTCTTACTGACTAAAAACCACCCCGTTCCTTCTCCTGCACGTCGAGCCGGAGCCCCGGTTCTCCGCGACTTTATTATGTACTAGCTATTACCCGCGGCTTCGCTCGCGTCACAAAAGGATAAAAAGTAGCCTATGTGACATACTAATACACACAGCGCCATCTATACCAATACTTTTGTTTTCCCTCGTGAATATCAAATTTTTCCGGGATAAAAAGTACCCTATTATTTAATCCGGACTTCTAACTTTACGTCTGCAAAAATTCAAAGCAATCGGTTTAGTAGTTACGGCGTGAAAAAGGAACAAACAAACAAACTCACTTTCCAATTTATAATATTAGTAAAGACTAGTAAGAATTATCTAGATGTATTGCACAGTCAACAGCAATTTATAAAAAAGTCCTTACTAATATTATAAAAGTGAAAGTGTGTTTGTTTGTTTGTTACGTCTTCTCGCCTAATTCGTAAAACCGATTTGGATAAATTTTGGTATAGGGATATTTGTACGATATTGTTGAGAATAGTAAATAATTATAATCTTGATAGATGTTTCTTAAGCATATGTGGTGCGATCTAGTGGCTCCAGTGTTAAATTGTACACATTATGATTGTTGGCAATTTTTCCTTATCTATGACAAAGCGTTGGTCTATGAAAAAAAAAAAACTTTTCCCTCTTGAATAATGGCTGCGAGTGTGAACGGTGTACGTATTAAATAAAAGTTTATAAAAGTGTAATAAAAGTAAAGAAGAACAATAAAAGTCAAGTTAAAATATTCAAGCTTTTTATTTAACAGATATAAAGTGGACATGGGTGGTATGGATATTAAGTGGGCGTGAGTAGTGTTACCCCGAAATTTACACGAGCGAAGCCGCGGGCAAAAGCTAGTAGTTTATAAATGATACAATTTGAAACTGACACATAAAAAATAACATAGAACATAAAGAGGTGATTTATTAGGGTGATTTATTTTTATCGAAGAGGCAGCCCTGCCATAGCTGTTGAATCGCGCGGTGCGAAGCAATCACAACTGTACGCTTGAATATTTAGGCACATTTTAGCATGCAGTAGTTGCTGACGCGACGGAGTAGGCTAATAAAGTAGGTATTGGAAATTTTGTATTGAGTGTATCTGTTATGAAATGAAATGAATGAAATGAAATGAAATACGTTTATTCGGCATAAGACATGCACGCCAGAAAAGACATATAAATAAAAAAAAGTATAAAAACAGAAAAATTAAGAGATAAAAGGTAAATTATAAAACTAAAACAAAAACTAAAACAAGCCAATAATTCAGGTGCACGGTGTTGGCGGACATGCCCAAACCGAACGGGCCACCAACTCAGTATAAAGCTGGGCACAATGAGCAACACTGATTTTCAGTTTGCACCCCTGCAGTGACGCACGGACGAGAGCTACGGGATAGTATCCCCGAATCCCCGACAATCCTCAAATACCACTTCCCAAAAGCCCAGTAATGCGCTTCTAGCGCATCTGATGTTTCTGGTGTCCATGGGCGGCGCAGATTGCTTACCATCAGGTGATCCGTTTGCTCATTTACCGGCCTATGCCATAAAAAACCCAGCAAACTATCATAGTATATTTGGTGTTGGACGGTCTCAAAAGAAAAGGACTAATATCTATTATTATTCAGCCGCGTGCAATTAGTTTTTGATATATAAAAAAATACGAATTCAAGTTAACTGAAAATATTTTATTCGTGGTTTTTACTCCTTTTTTTTAAGGGGGGAATATCATCGAACGACTTCTCCCGCCTGGGTGAGGCGGGAGGGAGTGTCAGACTCTTACTGACTAAAAACCACCCTGTTCCTTCTCCTGCACGTCGAGCTGGAGCCCTGGTTACCCGTTAGGTTATCCGCGACTCCTAATCGGCATCGGCCCTGTTGGGCCCCATCTGTGGTGGTCTGATGACTCTTTGAGGCGCGCGCGGTACGCGACGCGCCGTACGCTCGGGGGTTTTATCTCCTTACACTGCTGTCAACCTCTTTGCATACATTAATATTAATATCATAGTTGAATGGCTTAGTTCTCGGTCCACTGACTAGGTACGCTGGAACTATTCATTGCTGTGCCGATGATAGCACCGGGGACGCGTCTTACACGGGCTTTGTAAACTCACTTGTCGCACAATAGTCGGATGTCTTACAAATGTATATTAATACTATTTG